TGGGAAGCCTTCCTCCTTTTCCCTCACTCGGTCCAAGGGCTCGTCCAGAGGCCTCTCTCTCTGCAGCTCCCGCCTCCCCTGCGAAGGGCAGCCTGTTTGCCTTTCTCCTTTAATATTCGCACATCCATCACAAACCCGGGAGAGTTCAGGTGGCCTGGCAACTGCCCCCTGGCTAGAACACATGAGAATGGAGGAATTATGACTTCATAGTCCCCAGAGGGAGTACAAGTTGGAAATATAATCAGATGCAACAAGCTCTACATGGATTTGTACGTGACCAGGTTCTAAAGATGTTCAGAGGGATCCAGGAATCACGGCGTGTGCACAGGGGCCTTGGGATGAAGCCTGGAGGGTCCTGTGCTCTGAGGTCACAGTCCAGGAGGAGGCATTCCATCTCGGAATGAAGAAATCTTCCTGCTCACCCTGATTCCAGACCCTTCTTAGCAAGGGCTAACCACACGGGAACACAATTCGGACTCCAGGCTTCTTGAATTGGAACAGAAAGAGATAGGTTTACTTTAAAAAGGCTCTAAAATTGAGAAAGGGGGAACGTGACAGGGATCAACAGGGCGGAAACTCCTGAGGGGAAACACCCCCTACCCATCCAAGGCTCCAGTTTCTTGCCCTCTGGCAACTGTTGAAATCCCTTCTCTCTCTGGGTGGAGCTTTCTGCTGCCTGACTGCCTCAACTCTTCCACTCCCCAACCCAGTGAGGTTCAGGCCACAGCTCCCCTCCCAGCCATGGGTGCTTTCTTCACTTCCCTTTTCCACAGCTCTGTTTAGCCTCTCTTGATTTCCTCACAAGTCCCTTCTCCATGGCCAGGGAGGGCTGCTGTGGAGCCGAAGGACATCCTCCTGGCCCTGTGTGAAGAGCAACCCCATTTTATGTCAGTATGGGCCCACCTGTCAGCGTCCCCGGAAGTGACTGACATCAGAGAATCATCTTTCCCCATGTGCCTTAGGAAAGACTCTAGCACGAGCTGGATTGTGTCCCCCAAAGGCATAACCCCAGTACCTCAGAACATGACAGATTTAAAGTCAGGGCCTGCACAGAAGTGACTGAGTTGAAGTGAGGCTGTTGGGGTGGGCTTCAATGGAATAGGACTGGTGTTCTTAGAGAAAAAGGAGCTCAGGACACAGACTCAGGCAGAGGGAAGAAAATGGCCAACTAAGGGCCTTGGGAGAGAGACTTCAGGGGAGGGGTCTCAGCCCTACCCACACCTTGTTCTAGAAAATCAACCTCCAGCACTGCAAGGAAAGACGTGATGTTGTTGATGTGACCCTGTCAGTGGTATTTACTGTTAACAGTGTTTTTTTTTTTTTTTTTTTCTCCGGTACCGGGAACCGAACTCACGACCTTGCGCTTGCCAGGCAGGTGCTTTTGCCGCTGAGCTAAATCCCCAGCCCCCAGTGGTATTTACTGACCAGGCCAGACTAACAGCTACACCCACTTTTGAGTGCTATCATTTTTTGTGATCCCCATAAGGTTCTTGGATGACCCTTGTTTGCCTGTGACAAGCAGGTACAGATCCCCAAAGTACTGTTACATGTTTCCTCAGTGATTAGCTAATCCCTGTGGCCCTCAAAGCAGCTGGACACAGAGATAGATATTTTCTGGTTAGCTTGCCGACAGACCCCCCCCTTCCAATTACAAACATCTCACCTGTGCACCCCACCTGTGCCTTGTGACCTGCCTACTCCCTGTAAAGGTCCAGACCAGAGCACCTGCTGGACTGCTGTCCTCTGTAGCTCTGGGTGCCCTTGCTACTTCCATTGCCTGAGGAAAAGCTGTTTGCTTACTGCTCCTTTTGGTCATTGACAGTCTTATTACAGGTAGCTAAGTTATTTAGGAATATTGTAGGCAGTCTGATAAGGATGGAGCTTTGGGAGGTCAGTGCAGAAGACAACTGTGGCTGGAGGCGCATTCACTGAAGGCCAGACTTCAAGAAAAAGAGGAACAACTACACCCATCTACTTCCCCTAGGGATGCACAGCAGTGGCTGATATTCTAAATAGGCATCAATCACCTTGAGGGGGAGGCCCAAACCTTTTTAGCCCACCCCTTCCATGAAAGTCCTTGTCTATCCCACACACACTTGCCTGACTTGCTTCCCAGTTTGATCCAATTTAATCAATATTACTTAAATGACTATACTTGTTGTAATCTAACGGGTTCACTATAGTTTTATTCCACCTCACACCCACCTTGTGACTTCCCTTTGCAGCAGTATTACCTAAGTGAATATATTTGGAAACTTATTGATTGATTATAGTTCTTTAGATCTGCCTCATCTCGTGGTTTTGCTCTATAAAACTCCCTTGAGAGTTAGTATCTCTGGCCACCCACTCGGGACCCCCTCTGTCTCTTGCAGGTTTTCTTTCTCTCAATACATACTTTCTACTATTAGCCTCTGTTGTCCCTGCAATTCATTCTTTGATTTCAGGGAACATGAACTCGGCATATCTAGCAGATTGGGAGTTCTATTTCCCTTATATTATTTGGAGATGCTATATCATCCCTATATCAGTTTGGGGCTGTGACTTGGATGGGATGAGGAGCTCACCTGGACCTGCTTCTCCCTCCAGGCACTGAGCCTGCTTCAGCAATTGGTGCCCCTCTTGCCTGGGGATCAGAGATCCCACAGGAAGTGGTCCATCTCCTGAACCCTGTGCCTGATATCTGTCCATGGCAGCATAGTGAGGATGTGAATTAGACTCTGTTGGAGTGAGCATTTGGCCTTGTTTAGTGGCTGCTTCTGTTTAAACTTCTTAACCTACTTAACCCCCTTCTAAGACCACTCAGAATGTTTCCCACTGGTGACTCCGGTTAATTGCCTCCAATGATAGCGGGGCTTCCATGAGGATGACTTCGAACTGCAGCGGCTCTACTGGGACACGTGGCAGACTTCACAAGGCCCTCATAGCTCAGCATCTAAGACCTCACCAATAGACGGCTGATTTTGCTTGGCACAAGGGGGGTGAAAATGGGGAAAATGTCTCTAGTCTGTCTCAAACTGTGCAGTTCCTGAAGGACTGTCTCTACCACCAGCCTCTCCTCCACTTCCTCTTTCACTTTCAACAAAACTTCAGACCCCTTTCCTTCCCCAGAAGCTTCTTTGGGCTGAACCCTAGTGCTTTCTCCAGCCCTTAGTCCTCCTTGCTCAGTAGATTCGTCCTTTATCCTTCAGCCCTTCTTCCCCCACCTCCCTGCCTTCCTTAACCCTTGGGGCTCCCTCTGCCAGGCCCTACCCTGTGTGTTGGTGGGACAGAAGGCCCTGACCTGCCTCTCCCCTGAACAATCTCGCTTAGATCTACGTGCAATTGTTAAAGACCTTCCAGCCAGTAAGAATGGGGAAGAGTTCAGTGATTGATTTAGCCCGGTCCTCTGGGTGTGTTCTCCTGGATTCCCTGATGTATATCAACTTTTTCAGCTCTCAAGCATGAGATATACCATTTCATTGCAGCATGGCAATTAAGGGTAGGAAAAGGGGACCACAGAGAGAGAGGAGTGAGGGGAAGGTGAAAGAGAATAGGGGAAGAAGGTGGGTAGGTATGGACATGTCACAGTGAAACCCATTAATTTGTACAATTAATATGCTTTAATTATTTACAAAGGCAATTAAGTTTCACTGAGGTTTAGAGGCACCATTCGAACCATCGTGATTTCTAATTTTGTCAGTGGCTTATGCCTAGCAATTAGAGATATTATCTAAAGACATACTGTAAAGAGGCAGAGTGCTCCTCTCTCTGGAAATGTACAGTAGCGTAACAACATGAATACAGCGTTGCAGAAAAGGCCAAATCAACAAGCACTGTGCAAATTGATGGCTTGTAAAACATAACTAAGTACAGGAAAGCAAACCAGGGCAATTTGTGCCCTCCGGAGCTCCTCGTAATTAGAGACACTTGCAGATTTGTAAATAAAGGGAACTCTGAAGTTAGACTGCCTGGCCTTAAAACACAAATGAAAAGAGAGTCCAAACATCCATCTCTGCAATGACGGTCAGGGAGACCCGCTCCTTGTGTCCATGCTAATGTACAAGGGGAGGAAATCATCCCCCCCTGGGAGCATCCTACTCCCTTCTTGGTGGACCCAAGGCAGCACATCCTGCCATGATCACTTCTTATTTATGGCCATCGTCCCCAGGAGTACACAAGCCACACCTGTGGTGGGACTTGATTATCACCCACATAGTTGACTTTACCTGAACCTCCTTCTGTCTCCCTAGGAGCCCTTGCTTCCAGCTTCTTTCTCCTTAATTCCACTACCCAATAACCTTCTGGAAAAACAGTGGTTTCCAATGGTCTGTATTGTATCCCTGAACATCTCACCCCAAGATCCCTGACTCCCCGCCTTGTGTCTTTGCCCTCCTATGGCTCTTTTTTGGCCATTAAAGTGTTCTTGCTGGTGTCAGAAATTTCTGACCTTCCTTTCAGTCCCTAACGGTGAACTCTGTTAACAATAATGCCTAACTCTCTGAGCTGCTAACTCTGCTGACACAAGCCATATCTGGGAGGCTAAATAAGAAATAGAACCTCTCACGCCAAATGTTATGGTTTAGACCTAGATGTCCCCAAAGGCCTCCTGCATTTACAGGCAGGAAGGTGATTGAATCAGGATGTGGAGGACTTACTGTCAGGAGGTGGGGTCTGGTGGGAAGAAGTGGGCGTGACCTAAAGATGTATCTCTCTCTGGCCCCTCCCTCCTCTGCTTCCAGACCACCGGACTTGAGCAGCTGTTTTCTGCTGTGCCTCTCTGTCACACTGTTCTGCCTTGGAGATGGCCAACTGCACACTAAAACTAAACCATGAGCCTAAATAAACTTCTCCTGCTTTCAGTTGTAAATGTTGGGTATTTTGTCTCAGTGGTACAGAAAGTGAGACACCATTATATTCTCTAAAGCGAGTATCTCCAAAACCTTCAAACTATGCTTCCAGGGTTCCTTGACAAGGGACACTTAATTCTCACCTCTAGTTTCTGCAATGTTCCCATCCTCCAGGCAGTGACGCCAAATGGAGACCAGTCAGTCTGAGGCTTGTGAGTGGTAAACAGAACAGTGAGTCCCACATTTCTTCTACCACCTGAGATCCCTGGCACCATCCTAGCCTGTCTATCCAACAGTGTGCAATTCACAGTCATCAAGGTATGTTGTGCATGTTTTTTAAAGTATAATTTTCCTCCCCTTCTCACAATACCTTTTGGTTTCACATGGAAAGGCAACAACACACATGCGCCATCACAGCTCCGGGACTTACTGAGGTCCCTATTTATTTCAGACCTGAGACATTTTATCTTCATCTGCAGCTTGGTCCTTATTGGAGATATGGATGATATTTTTCTCTGCACACTTGGACAGGGAACTTATTCATCACCACTCATTACTTACTCCCTCTGTCGCCCACAATGGTTGGAAGGTCCTTAAAAACAAAATATTACAATGCAGCCCTCAAGTGTGCTCCCTGGGACACGCTAGCTCCTCTGAAAGGAGGACTTTTTCCGTAAAGAGTTAACACCTTTAATTCAAGGAAGAATTAACACCATCATTTTCCCTCTCCCGAAGACCAAAAGACACTTGAATGGTTTTAAGGCTTTTGAAGGCTTAGTGACTATTGCAGAGATTGGATCCTGAACCTATTCCCCTGTAGTCTCTTTCTCTCGTATGCTGAGGCAGGACCCTCAGCATACACAAACTGGAACTCCCAAATCCACAAACTGGAACTCCCAATCTCTCTTTGCATTTCAAAACCTCACTCCTTCTCCACCCTTTCTCCTACTCTTGGAGTCCCTGTTTGGACTCACTTTCTATTTCCCTCTTTTTAAATAGAAAGGAAAGACATAGTTTTGGAGCTCTTGCCCCAAAATACAAGGGAAGCCAAAGGCCTTCTGGGTGCCTTAGATCTATGTCTCAAGCATTACCCTCTTGCTCACATGCTGCTGCCAGTTCAGCCCAGAGCACTGCGGGCTTAACTGTGAGTCACTTGATGGATTTCCACATACTCCATGCAGTTCGGAGCCTTCTACTCACTGAGAGCCTCTAACACTTACCCATGTTCGCACTTGTCTCCTACAAAATCTGCTACTGCTGCCCCCTTACGTCACTGTCCTCTGCTTTCAAAATCCTAAGTCCAGCTGCCCTCCTTCCTCCTTCTCTGAGGGACCACCTCACAACAACATCACCATCATCATCGTCATCGTTGTCACCATGATCATCTCCTAGTCCTTCCTTACCCTGACATTGCTGAAACTGCTCTCCAAGGCTGTCGTGTTGTATTCAGGGGATGATTTTTTTTTCCCTCATCCTACAGAGGGGAAATTTCAGTGATTAGATTTTCAACACTCCAGAGTTTTTGACACTCCTGCTGATGTAAGGTGAGAAGCCTTACTGTACACTCTTTTCCTTTGAAGAGTGTTTTCTAGTGACAGCGAAATAACCCAGTTGCCAGGAGATCAGTGACTCTTTACCAGAGACACCAGAGTTTAGATTTTGATTTGGCCAGAGTGGTTGCATTTACATCAGCCTTGCTGCTGATGTAAGGTGAGAGTGCTAATGTTAATGCAGACAGCAAGTACACTCTCGGGGTTGTCGGTGATGTTGGTGGGTGTGGAAGAGAGGGTTCATGTCATTTTCAGGAACGGCCATCCAATATGGATCCCAGATCAATGACCTATGAGATGAGAGGCTTTTCTTCTATGCAAGCACTAAGCTATTTTCAAAATTGACACCACGTCTGTAGTTGGACCCCCAAAACTATAAAACCTCCTCTTTTGACAATTGTTCTAAGGTAACTACTTCCCAAGAACACCTTCCCCATCACCTGTTTCTTCCATTGCTCAGCCTCCTTTGGAGACAGAAATTCTCCTTAAAGGAGCACAAGCACAACAACTTAATGTCTGAGTCTGGAAAAACTACCTGGAAACAAGCTGGATGTTTCATGCACTCATGTAAGCTCCAGACCAGAAGACCAGGCAGTCAGTCCAACATTCCTTTCCTGAAATTCAGCCAGACCTCCCAGAAGAACACACATTGTAGCTAACGGAATCCTATAGACCACAGGGTACTTGATTTTGTGTGTCACCTTGACTCAATTCCTTGTGTCCAGATATCTGGCTAAGCATCATGGCTGCATGCTACTCTGAGCTCTGGCCGCTCTGCTGGTTCAGGCAGATCACTGGCAAGTGTTAACCCAGTGGTTTGACTCTCAGTTTTCCATGTTATTTGGCTATGAAGCCTTACTGTACACTCTTTTCCTTTGAAGGGTGTTTTCTAGTGACAGCGAAATAATCCAGTTGCCAGGACATCAGTGACTCTTTACCAGAGACCCTTTTGGTTGTTACAATTGGAAGAAAAAGAGCTACCAGCAGCATCCAGAGAGTAGAGGCCAGGGATACTTCCGTCTGTCCTACAATGCACAGGACTGCCCCACAGGAAAGAATGACCCTGCACAGGGTCAGCAGTTTGAGAACCACTGGTCTAAACAACAGCATTGTTGCTGTGACACTCTCCAGCCTTATTTAAGAAACAAAAAGCTCACCAACTCCGCTGAATTGATGGAGATTGATTCTTATAATAATGTCTGCCTTTGCATTTTATGAGCTTCTCTGTGGACATAGAAACAGAATAGTGTTTTATTTTGTTTCTGGACAAAAATAGGCCTTGACCACACCACAAAGGGAAACTGGGATTCAGATATTTTTGAAAGAGAATAATTCCCCATGCAGCAACCATGGTGATTTGAGTCCTGGCTCTCATGCCAACTTGTGGGTGCTTGGGGAATGTCGCTGTCCTCTAGGGGTAGAACGAAGGCACCTCCAGACCTCTGCTGGCTCTAATAGAGTTTATTCCAGAACAAGTCCCTGCATTATTCAATTTGGAGAATTGCTAAAGCACAAGATAGAAAGGAAAAGGGAAGGAGATACTATCATGGCTCTGCCCTTCCTCCTTGGCTGTGGGGCATGTCCGCCCCCAGCATGTGCTTCCATGTGACCCACTGCCCCTCTTTACATGAACCGAAGAGCCAGCAGTGAAGAAAGGAAGAGGTTTGGCAAGCAAGGGGGCCAGCCAGTGGTGAGGCGGTGGTTATGTAAGGCAGCTGGGCAGAGGGAGTTCTCAGCATCTGCTTTCAAAATGAGGCCGAGGGTGAGCTGTAGCCTGGGCGCAGTTGGCTTCTGTACCTGCAGGTCGGGCAGATTCAACCAACTGCAGATCAAAACATCCAGAGAAAGATCACATCTCTACTGAATATGTATAGTTTGTTCTCGTCATCCTTTCCTAAACAACACAGTATATTGGCCGTGTACAGAGTATTTCCATTGTATTAAACATTATACACCAACTAGAGATGGTCTCATTTCCGCAGGAGGTGTGTGTAGTTTCTACACAAATACTGTGCCTTTTATTACTGGAGATTGGAGCACCTGTAGATCTTGGTGTCCAGATGCGGGTGGAGAGTGGCTTGAAACCAGTCTCTCGAGGACACTAAGGGACAACTGTATTCTCAAGCAGGATATAGCAATAGGTCTCAGATATTTTTATATCACTCTTTGAAAGATTTATACTTTTTTCCAGGATGAATTCTAGCTCATTGATGATATGCTTCATTGGCATAATTTAATAACCTCAATTGTCTTTAGACTGAAAGTTTTAAAAAAATTTTTCCTTTGTTTTCAGAAATAGCTAGTGTAAGTAATTTTTAAAATATACATATAAAATCCTTACATGAATTACACAGGTAACCCATGCACATGGTAAGTAATTTAAATATTAAAAAATGACATACAAGGAAACAAGTAAGTCTTCCTCTCTGCTCAGGGGTACATCATCCTTATTTTCTTATCAAAAATGGTCCCGAGGGGATGGAAGAAGTTGGGACACATACATCAAACCGAGGAGGCACAGCTCTGTGACAGCTTGGGAAAGAACACAGAGTCACCAGCCAGAGACTGGAAGGGACAGCTTCCTGTAAGATAGTATTCTGTTCTAGGCAGACATTCACAGGGCAATACATGGATGCACATGACTTAGATAGTTTTCCTGCTGTTTTGCTGATGAAAAAGAAGAAGTAAAAAAAATCAAGGAGCAGGAAGAAGTCAAGAAGTAGAGACTTTTGGACTGACAGGCTGGAATTACACTGGGGTTTCTTCTGGAATAGTTCACTGAGGCATACAGGCGAATGATTCACGTCTCTCCTCCTATGCTGTTGTTTCTCTGTGTTGGCTAACACAGGGAAGGAACCCAAGTTAGGAAAGAAAAGATAGGTTTCCTTTGTGCATTGTCAAATTCTACTGTCTTTCTGTGTGTGAGCAAGTTCTGGTTAGGATGGGATGCATGGCCTCTCAGGATGTCCAGTGCCCCCATTTATTCAGTCGTGGATTTCCCAGCTCATGTTTTCCTTGCTTCAAGCCTAGAGGGACTCCATGGTAAGAGAAGACTATTGCACTGCTGGGCAGGCACACTCCCAACGCGGTGACACCATCATCACTATACACAGAGCCAATCAGAAAAGTGCTATGTTGGACCAATCAGAAGATGCCATTTTCAATGCTTCATTTGCATGTGGTCATAACCAGTCAAGAGACACTATTACTGATCCTTCATTCATATGTAAGAGGAAGTCAAACATGGTTTTTGATAGGACAGTATACACCTGACATGATGCCAAGTGAGTGTATGATACAGTAACTGTCAGAATGCCTTATTTACATTAAAGAGAGAGAGATAACCTGGGAATTTTGGGTACAATAGACCCTGTGGTTTACCTTGGGGCCACTGTGAGGGTTTTTATCAGCTTGCCCTCACTCTGCAGAGTGTATTTGTTTTGCGTCTTCAATAAATGTACACATTTGCTGCCTTTTCTGTGCGTTGTGGCCAAGTGTTCGAGACATGAGGAACCTGGGAAGAAGCCCCGAGGGACTCTCCGTCTCATGACAATGGGTTGGGCCAGCAAGAAAGATGGGAGCTGGGGATATATCTCAGAAGCACGGCGCCTGCCTGGCAAGTGCAAGGTTCTGAGTTCGATTCCTGGTACCAAATAAATAAATAAAGAAAGAAAAATGGACACACATAGTGTGCTGATCTGCTGTGTTTACACATGTGCTCCTCTCTATTATGACTTCACTTCTAAAGCATAAATTCAGAAATAAAAT